TAGTGAATGCTGTGGGGTGCTGCCTGGGGACCCTCTTCAGGTCAGAAGTGCACACTGCCTGCCCAAGGCCCCTCTGGAACTGCCTTTAGCAAGTGACTCTCAGAGGTCATGTATCCATCGGCCTCAGAGTGGTCAGCTCAGGTCACCCAGCCCAGAAACACCCTCTGTGCATCCTGCTTCACTCGCTCCTTCCAGGTGGGGCTGGGAAAAGAACTCTCAGGAAACCTCTGTGTGCAAATCTCCATCACAAAGGGGCTCCAGCCCCCCCAGCGCAGGGGTGTATCCTAGTGCAGGGGTGACCTCAACCTTGCCACATCCCTTGCTGCAGCCCTCAGGGGACCCAGGCCTGAGTGAGGGTAGGCCTGGGGCTGGTGGCCGAGGGGCTGGCGGAGGTGACAGTGAGAACCTGACCAGGCCGCCTGTAGGAGGAAAGGGCCATGTCTCCCAGGCCCTCCACTGAGGACCACCAGCAGGAGAGCAGGGGGCAGAGGGAGCTTCCTCCATGGATTTCTGTGAGAGGTCATGGCTGCCAGCTGGTGGTACCCAGCAGGTGCCCGGGGGATGCTCCGAGGAACAGCCTGTCTCCCCAGATCTGGAGCTGGGTGGAGTGTCAGGCACTTCGGGTGGCGCTGTGAGTGGCAGAGCTCTGAGAGCCCACAGTGGTTAGGGGAAGGGCACACAATGAGAAGAGGAACACGGTTGTTTAATCATTGTCACCTTAGTAACCATAGGTAGGCGGTTTTCTTACCAACCCTGGGGCCTTGGAGGATGTGCTGTAAGAAGAAAAACAGGCCTGGTAAAATATAAGAGACATCTTGGGACCCTGATGGGTCCATTGCTCAGAAAAGACAATGAATTTTGAGGACAGAGGACAGGGTGGACTTAGATTTGGTTGCTGTGACTGGACCCTGACCCCTCTGGGAGTTTGCCTCAGGAATGCTAACCATCCTTGGGTCCCAGGGTCTCTTTAACATTGGTTTTTAACATTGACAATTAACTACCTTATTATTAAGGAGACACAGACCACAGACCCTGCAGTCATTCCACCATCCCCCTGCCCCTTGCACACAGCCTTTCGTTCTTATCGTCCTTATCTCTAAGTGACTATCCGACTAGGAGGAGGTGCTGGGCAGATGTCAATGGGGCCGCTCTGCCATACTGCCGGCCACACTGGAACCAACATTTACATATGAATTAACCCTGACTCTGCTTTGTTGGCTCAAGTCGTGACAGGCAGCCTGGACCCGTGAGTGTCCAGTTAGTGGTGCCCTCCATAAGAGGTGTGTGCCAGAGGGCTTGTCTTCATGGTCACTGCTTTCCCAGTGGCAGGGGCTGAGGGGCACCCAGGCTCCCAGGGGACAGGGTGCCGTTTAGACTCCACATGACACGGGGAGGCTGACACCCACACCTCTCTCCATGTATGGGTTTTAGTGTGGTCTGACTTTCTGTATCATCAGGTGGTCACTTTGGGGATGTGGGCAGCAGTTTCCCAAAGTTAGCTGGACTCTGCATTACACCACCTCCACCCCAGGAGGAGGGGCAGCTGCAAGGTGGGTCTCTGTGACATAGGCAATTAGATGGGAGCAGAGTAGGAATGAGAGGTCAGGTACAGGTCACCCCGCCGACCTAGCAACGGTCAAAACTGGGCAAACAAGTGTTTTAGGCTAGAGCCTGACCCCCAGGGTGACCTCTCCTCCCCTTTCATATCACCAGTCATATGGTATATACCCCCTTAGAAAAGGAACAAGGGGGGGCGGAGAATAGCCTCATATGACCCCCGTTCAAGCCCTCCAACAGCCACTCTCTTAAGCATTCAGCCCTCCAGGACATTGAGGTTCTGACCAGAATCAAATAATTTTAGAAAAAAAGCCTCGGATCTGTTGGCCACAGAGACAAGCGTTTTGATCAAACTAAAGATAACAGCCAGGCCCAGAAAAGCAGCGAAGCTATTAATAGATGAAGCACCCTGGCTGAACTCAGGACCGGCTGCAATGGCTAATAGTCACGACCCTGGCACCAGCCAAGATCAGTAGAGACCAGGGCCTTGAAAGGACACACCTGAAAGCTGGTGAATATTCTATTGAGATCCTCGTCCTGAGACCTCCAAACCCTAAGGTGAAGGGCCCAGCACTCTCCAGGACATGCCTGTGCCTTCTTCCCCAGAGCAGTCTCTCTCTCTCTCTCTCTCTCTCTCTCTCTCTCTCTCCTCTCTTCTGCACCTTTCCTCCACCTTCTTTCTCTCAAGGCATGTACTTTGCCTTTCTCTCTCCTCAGTTCCAAGGGCCCTCCCTCTGCCTCTGTAACTCAGTTTCCTGAGTCCACACAGCCCGCCTGGCTCACTTCCTCTACCTCTGTGACTTCTAAATAAACTTCCCTTATAATCAGAGTTTTTGACTCTGAATTCTTTCCTGGCTGAACTCCAGGACCAAGGTCTAACTTCACCATTAAGACTGCAGGCTCCTCCTCTAAAGACTGCCTTCTCCCCTCACCACCTGAGCCCAGGCTTAACCCCCAGCAGGGGCAGGAAGAGCCTGCTTGAAGCCAACTGCCCCAGAGGAGACTCACAGACCCTGGGCACCAGGCAGACAGGGGGCACAGACCGTTAGAAACAGTGGCATTGGGACTGCCCAGCAGCACCTCGGTCTCTGTATGAACATTGTCGACCACTCGGATTCTGCATCAAACCCGGCTCTCCAATCAGAAGCACCTTGGTTCTGGGCAGTTCTCTGGGTCTTTCCCACGCCTGCATTTATGCTCCGCAGCCAGCTTGACCTGCCCATTCCTTGGGGATCTCAGATGGACCCCTCACTCTTAGCTGACCACCCACACTTCCTTCGCCTGTTCCCAAGTGGTCTGGGTTGCCAAGCCCTCACCAGCCTACTCCCTCCAGATCCTCTCCAGAGTGACTGTGGCCTCATGCTGAATAGTGTCCCAAGCCAGATAAAATACCCCGGGTGTAATCCTAGCAGAGGAAGCATGAGCTTATGTGCTCCCACATTCTGGGCCCTAAGCTCCTGCTGATGCAGCCTCACAATGAATCCATTTTTCTTTCAGGTGCCTATTCCTTGCTAATTAGTAATGAAGCGGGTCCAGACCATGTACTGGGCTGTCCTTAAGCTCTGAAGGGAGGGGGACTGGTGAGAAGCTCCCCACTTGGCCTGGCCCAGCCCAGAGGCCTGACTCTGGTGTAGGGCACCCAGAGTCTGTGGTTTATGATCAGGGCTCCTGTCAGGTCCTGGGATGCTCACCATCGGTGCCTCTGCTGCTTTTCTTGTCATTCCTTCAGGGGTCCTGTGAACGCCCAGCTGCCTGCATTGTGCTGGGTCCCCACCAGGCGGGAGGAAGATTGGAGAGCTGGGTTTGATGCAGCTATAGACTGGGAAGGAACTGCACCTCTAAGGGCCAGCAAGGTGGGCCCCTGGGCATCCATAGGAGGTGGACAGGTCCTTTGAGAGTCGAGTGCTTCCTCCGTGCCAGGAGAGCCTGCAGAGGCTCCAGAAAGGGCGGCTTTCCCCCTCCTGCTGCTTTAATTTCCTCCACCCGGCGAGGACCAGTCCAACCTGTGCAGGTATCACAGCCGCTGCCCCTCTGAGCACAGAGGAGCCTCCGAACCCTTAGCACAGGTTCCAGGAGGCTACTGCCACCTGGGCAGAGTTAAACTTACAATCTAGTGCTCTTTTCTGGCCCACACTGGCCCTCTGGCCGCCCCTCTCCTTAGTCTTACAATGCTGGGGCAGGGAGGGGGGATGGCACTGGAGCCAAGTATTAGGCCCAATTCTGCCTGTTCTCCTGATCCCCAGATCTGGCCACGGACAGGACTAGACATCTCTATGAAGTCCGGATAGCCTGTCAGCCCTCTAGGCAATTCCTTGGAAAATAAAACTCTCGAGGTTTGGGCTGATAGAAGTCAGAGACTGGAAACTGTCCCCAGAAGAGCAGGGCTGTGATGACAGCAGGCAGGGTTGGGAGGGGGGTGCACCTGGAGGACCAGAGTGGGGTGCAGACACATGGGGAGACTGGCTGGGATGGGGAGGGGTGGGAAGTTTCGGGAGCACTGGGTGGGGTGAGCATGGGCCCCGTCCCTGAGCCAGGGGCCTGCAGGACTGCAGCAGCCTCTCGACTATGAGGCCAACCCCGCCAGGATGAGGCCACCGTTCGCACTCCCGTCACAGAGCTGGAGAGCAGGGCAGGGAGGTTGTTGGTGCTCAAGGACATGCAGTGGGACGGGCGAGTTGGCCTTGGAACGCAGGCCCGCCCCGGACCAGCACCACAGCAGCCTCTGGGAGCGCTGGTTGTTCCCACTTGAGTCTGGAGGCCAGAGGGCTCCAGGTTTTCCTGAGTGAAGCACGGGAGTGTGTCCCCTCAACAGACCCCGGCCACCTCCTCATGGTCCCACTCTCCCCGCCCACCACATCTGGGCCTGTTCCCTATGAGGGGCCCAGGGATCCTGGCCTGCCCAGCGGGAGGACACCAGGCCGCACACTGTACCAGACTTCAGAGGGGTGGGCAGCAGGTTGGAGAGCCCTAGAGAGTGACCAAGGGAGTTGCCCCAGAGCTCACACCTCCCACCATGCCAACGTGGGTAGCGCATAACCCCTGTCAGGATCAGTCCCGGTGGACAGCTTTATTCCGATCTCAGGGAGGCAGCAGGACCCAGCAGGTATCCACCCCACCCCAATGCCCAGGTATACCAGGCTATGGACACAGCAGGTGGGCAGGCCCATCCCAAGGTCCCCAGGGTGGCCTTGCTCAGGCCTCAGTCCTTTTGCCCTTGCCCCATCTGAATTCCATCTCAGGGATGGGGTTGTTAACTCCCAGGCTCCATGCCTGGGTCATCCCTGCCCAGCAGGCTTCTTGGAGAGTGTCCACGCCCTTGGTGAGCTCAGGGCCCCATCCTGTGGCTCTTCACCACTGGTCACAGCCGCCCCCCTCCCCCCACCCCAGCAGGCAGCACCTCCCGGGGAGCCCTGGATCTGGTCCCCACACGCCTGGGTCGTCTCCTAGGCCAGAGTCACACACAGAGAGTCCTGGCTCTTGTGAGCCTTGGCGGCGGGCGCCCCGGCTAATGCGGATGCCTCCTGGAACTCCTTGGTCATGTAGTAGTAGCAGATGGCATCCAGGCAGCAATTGGCATCCGAGACCTTGCTAGTAATGTGGAGGGCATCCCGAACGACACAGGTGTTCAAGCCCGTGGCCAACCGCCACGTCAGCACCACGTGCAAGGGCAGGAAGCAGACCACGAACACCACCAGGTTCCCCCAGATCATGAAGGCAGCCTTCCGGGTGGCCTCCGCCTGGCCCACGTCGGCAGCTGGCCTCTGGCCCAGGGCAGTCACCACCTGCAGAGAGCAGAAGACCAGCACGGCCAGCGGCAGGTAGAAGCCCAACAGCGAGAAGACCGCGGTTTGGGGGTTTTGCCGGGACGCGTTCTCAAAGCAAAAGCCGCCCTCTTGATCCTTCAGGACCCAGCGAAGCAGCAGGGAGCCGACCACCAGCACCCAGAGCACCGCACACACGGCCCCCGCCTGCTTCGGGGAGCGGAGCCCGCGGCCATACAGCGGGTGCCGCACCGCCACGTAGCGGTCCACAGCGATGGCCATAATCAGGCTGATGCTCATGTACCTGTTGGCCAGGTAGATGCCCTGGGAGAGCTGGCAGAGCACCGTGTCTTCGTTGTTGGGCTGATTCAGGGAGGCGAGCATGAAGGGCAGAGTGCAGAGCAGGCAGAGGTCGGCCACGGCCAGGTTGACCATGTAGATGTGGGTCTCCGTCCACTTGCGCAGGCGGCAGCAGAACACCCAGAGCGCCAGGCTGTTGAGCAGCAGGCCCAGCACCAGCAGCAGGCCCAGGTAGGCGTGGTAGATGTGTTTGGCCAGCGGGGAGCTGGAGATGGGGCAGGTGCTGTTGTTCATGGTCCTGGGGCTGCAGGAAGGGAGCAGAGGTGAGGAGGGAGGGCAGCACACGGAGCTCCGGGAATGGCAAGGCCACGCCCATCTCTGGCCGGGGGTGAGCCCCACCCCATATCCAAAACTCACTTTCCCAAAGAAGTCATAGAACCATAGGAGCTCTGAGGCCCCCACAAGCCAGACCCCTGCCCACTGGAAGGTGGGAAAGCTAAGGCCTTTGGAGCCGGGTGGGCCCAATGTAGCCCCGTGAGCCAGCCCAGGCCTGGAGCCAGTCCCTCGCACTCTCCAGAGCCCTCCTCCCCCGGGCCCTGCCATCTGCTGGGCCGAGAAGGAGAGGAGTCACTGCCCACCTCCAGTTCAGCCGATTCAGCTCTCGGGACAGGGCGCCTGGAAAGGGACCCTCTGAAGAGGGCCCAGGACGCAGCCTGCGTGGCCTCTCCTCCCGCTTCCCAGACCTACATTTGACCCTCCTGCACCTCAACGGTGTGGTCAGCATGTATCCCACCTGGCCACTCCTGGCAGCAGAAGTCCAGACAGCAGGGGCTGTGGCTCAGGACAGCTCCCCAGAAAACTCCAGAAGTCTGGTCTTCCTCCTCCTTCCTGCCTGCCCTCCCTCCGAGTGTCCGCCCACCCAGTCCTGTTCCCTGAGGCCCCCCGCCCAGGCCCCATCTGGGATAGGGAGCCTCTTGAATCTTTGTGGTCAGCACCCTGAGGGAGCTCTGCCCTCCAGGCCCAGACCGGCCTCACGGTGGCACTGGGCTACCTCCACCCCTTCATCATCATCACCAGAAGCTCCCACACAGCCTCCCCTCCCCGTCTATGCTGGCTTCTCACGCCCCTCCCCCCAAATGCCCCACCACGCGGGGTAGGAGGCACAGGACCAGGGCCTGAGGATTCACCCTGCGCTGGGTCACCCTTGGAGCCCCCCAGGGGGCTGCGCTGCTGGTTTCCATGGGGTGGGGTCATGGAGCATGTGATGAGGACCAGGGCAGCTTCCTCCTCCCACCCCCAGGAACACGGGCCCTCCAGGTGGGGAATGAGAGCGGATCAGTTTGCAAAGAGGGTGGGGGAGTAGCTGGGCCAGGCTGGATGGGTTCTTTTCTCTTCTCTCCCCCCATCCCCCACCACTTCCAGCAGGAAATACTCAGCGTTTGCAGGGCAATTAGGTTCATTAGTGCCTCCGGCTGGGCCCCTGGGAGCCTCCAGATACAGACCATTAGAGAGGCCGTAGCAGGTTTCAGCCAGGAGCAGAAATATTCCACAAGTATGCCATCCCATCCCTTTTGCATTTTAAAACGGCACATTTGCCAGCAATTACAGCTTCATGCATGCGTTTCCCGTACGTGACATCCCAACCCGCCCCGCCCCGCGATCTCACTCCTCGTTTTTGGAAGGATTCTGTTGGTCCTTTCTGAGTCACCTCATTTTATCCAGATCCTGAGGTTCCTCAGACCATGAGCCAGGCCAGGCTCTGTAGACACCCCAGAACCCACTAGAACCAGCCATTGGGACCCTTCCTTCCCACCCACCCCACCCTCCTAGCTACTTCCCACCCAGAAACCCTGGTAAGCCGCCAGGCCAGCTGTGTGAGGTGCTCCCACCCAGAACCCTCAGAACCTACCTGGGTCTACTCATCTCTGTCCTCTGGAGTCATCCCAGGAAAGCTTGGGAAGTGAAAGCCTGGTTCCACCCAAATAACCCAGCCGCAGCATGGGGACATACGTCTAGGGCAGGGACCCCTGCCGGCCTCCTGCCCAGACATGCAGGACCGTCTCCTTTAACAGACACTGTGGTCGCCCTGCAGAAGTGTGTGCTCTGAGCACTCAGCAGCCAGGGGCCCTGGTGTATCCGGCGGGGGGAGGTGGGCATGGGAAAGGGGAGCAGGCTCAGTTTCCTCTTCAGTCTGCTTCCCACACAGGAAGCAGAAAGCCGCCTTGTGATCTGCACCAAGATGCCTGTGCAGTCAGCGTCAGAGAGACCTATGCGTGCACAGGGGCTGCCCTCCTACCCCCCCGCCTCTCTGTCTGCCAGCCCCAGGCACCCCACAGTCGGATCCGGGACAGTGGTGCCTGGGCACTGTACAGGCCTCTGGAACTGGGACCCCACCTAGGATCCAGGACTGGCATGTGTGAACGAAACAAAAGTTGCACAAAAGGCGAGAATAGAGGATGTGAAAATATACAAATGGGACATGACCCAGCCATAAAAAGGATGAAATGTTACCATTTGTGACAAGAGGGATGGATCTTGAGCATATCATGCTAAGGGAAATAAGCTAGACAGAAACGGACAAAGACCATGATTCCCTTCATATGTGGGACATAAAACAAAAAGCAACAAACGAACAAAACAAACAAAAACAAACTCATAGATACAGACACCAGAATGGCAGTCACCAGACAGGGTGGGAGGGGGAGGAGAGGAAAAGCGTCAGATGCGTGGTGATGGAAAGAGACTAGGTCCGGTGGGGAGCACACACATAGAGCAGTGGCCGCCAAACCGAGGCTCGCGAGCCGCCTGCGGCTCTTTAGCCCCTTGGGTGTGGCTCTTCCACAAAATACCACGGCCTGGGTGAGTCTGTTTTGAAGAAGTGGCATTAGAAGAAGTTTAAGTTTAAAAAAATTTGGCTCTCAAAAGAAATTTCAATCGTTGTCCTGTTACTTTTTGTCCTGTTGACGAACGAGTTTGCCGACCACTGCACTTGAGTATACAAAAGTCGGATTATAACCTTGTGCCCCTGAAATTTACATAATGTTGTTAAACAACGGTAGGCCAATTAAAAAAGTTTTTAAAGGTTTCACAAAAAAGAGCTCACCAAACTGGCATAACAGAACTGAAATATTTTCTGTCTAGTTTTTTAATGCTGGTCACACCCACAAGGTAGCTTTCAGTCTTGAATTGGGTGGGAGTCTAGGCCCTGGAGATACCTGAGCTCCTCTGAACTGCAGCCCACCCTCATGGAGGGGGGTCCCCTTTCCAGACCTAGCCCTCAGAGCTCCTACATTAGGATACTCTCCAAGCCTCATCACAGACTCTCTGAGGCTCCCCACCACAGCCCTGGCCTGGCTCTGAGACCCCAGGCCCGGAGGTTGGCACTGACCTGCAGTCAACCTCAGATTCCTGGGCTGAGCCGTTTCTCTCCCCGCCACCCCCTTCCCCCCCAGACTGCCTTACTATAGCCCTCCTTAAGACAGATAGGCAGCTGGTGTGCTGAGGACAGCAGAGTGGGGGTGACAGAGCTGCCTGGGGAATTTCCAGGAAGGGAAGTGGGAGTGGGCACTATGTCGACACCTCCAGACAGCACACGCACTTGCAGCACGGAAGGGTTCCGCCACAGAGGCATCTGTCCCAGCATCTCTGCCCCCACCCTCATCCTGGCAGGAGGGGCCTCCTGCTCACTGTACGGCACCCTCACGTGCACAGGCACGCTGACGGGTGACCACCAAAAGGCACGGACACACAGCTGCTCAGACCGACTACCTGCCTGCCGGCTGCTTTACCCGGCCTGCTCCTCCCCTTCTCCTCCTCAGAAGCCCCTTCCCAGGCCGCCCCTGCTCTGGTCTCTGCACTTTGAGCTCGGCATAGGGAGCGGGGAGCGGGCCTTCCTTTGGACCCCCTGCACCCTGAGGGCAGGGACGTTGTCTCCTCAGCTTCCCCCACCAATTGCCACCTGCAGCATCTCTCTCTCTCTCTCTCTCCAGACTGCTGGGAGCCTTCTGGCCCCACCCCAGTCCATTCACAGAGGTGGAGCTGAGGCTTGAGTAGGGAGTGGCCCGGCCTCCTGACCCTGGGACCAGTGCTCCTGCCCAGAGGCCCCTGAGGAGGGTCCCGTTTCACGCCTTTTCTCCACAGTCTCCAGACCCAGGTCTAACGGATGGGGCGGGGGGTGTCCCTCCATGGACTCCTCCTGCCACCCCTTCTCCCCTGTCTGGCCCCCTCCCAGCCCAGTTCTGATACCCTCTCCATCATTTTTTTGGTTTTTTGTTTTGTTTTCTTTTGTTTTCATACAACTTGTCTTTTGTACAGTTGACTCTTGAACAACTTGTGGGTTAGAGGCAACAACCCCCATAGGGTTGAAGATCCACATACAACGGTGACTTCCCCAAAAACTTAACTACTAGTAGTTTCCTGCGGACCAGAAGCCCCACTGATAACATGAAGTCAGTGAACATGTTAACTGCATTATAACTGTATGTTGTATGCATTATATACTGTATTCTTACAATAAAGTAAGCTAGAGTGAAGAAGAATCATAAAGAAGAGAAAATACGATATTTATTAGAAAAAATCTGCACCTAAGTGGGGCCACAGTTCAGGAGTCAGCTGTACTAGTCCTTAGTCTTTGCTGTGACTGGGATGCCGCCTGCCCTCGGACAGGTCACCACCGGGCACAGAACACGCCTCAATAAAGAGTATTAACCAGTTGGTGGCCCTGACAATGGAAAGAATCTGTCCAGTGGCCGTGCCAAGGACCGAGCAGGGTTCCTGGCTCCCAGCAGGTGCCCCATAAACATCAGATGGCCGCAAGCTCAGAAACATCTGCCTGGCCCTCACTGGTTTGGCTCAGAGGATAGAGTGTCAGCTTGTGGACTCAAGGGTCCCAGGTTCGATTCCGGTCAAGGGCATGTACCTTGGTTGTGGGCACATCCCTGGAGGGAGGTGGGGGGAGGGGTGCAGGAGGCAGCTGATTGATGATTGATGTTTCTCTCTCATCAATGTTTCTAATTCTCTCTCCCTCTCCCTTCCTCTCTGTAAAAAATCAGTAAAATACATGAAGAAGAAGAAGAAGAAGAAGAAGAAGAAGAAGAAGAAGAAGAAGAAGAAGAAGGAAGAAAGAAAGAAACACTTGCCTGGTGGGAGGGAGGACCTGCCCCCTGAGCCCTTCCCCAGGAGCCGGCTCCCTCCCCATGGAAGGCCAGCTTCCCAGAGTCTGAGAGGCCTGGCCATGCTGGGCAGGTGCTAGACCAGGCCCGTCCCCTCACTCCTGGGCATCTCACAGCCACAGCAATGGTCCTCTGCCGGGGAGGACGGGCGAGGGCAGCCTCGATGCTGCTGCCAGCATCTGCCAGGGGTTGGAGGCCTCCTCCCGTGCCTGCCACCCCTGCTGCAGTCCCAGAGCCCTGTCCTGTGTCCATCCTGACTGGTCTGGGAGAGTCCATGTGACAGGCTTGTAGGGGGAGTTGGCACAGATCTCAGGGAGGCTCCTCCAGCCCCATTCTCTGAATCCTTGGGTCAGAGAGGAAAGGGCGATTGGGCTGTGAGAGACAGCCATGAGCTACATATGCATCACTGCCCTAGGTCCACGTGAACCCTAGAGGGAAGGGCCCCTGGGAGGCTGGGCTTCTCGGAAGGAGCTTGCTGGACGTGTTCTTGGGCCAGCCCAGCACACCCTGCTGCCAGCCCCACCCTACAGCAGCCACCTCCCTCCCTTGAAAACCTGTCACCCTGCCACGGGGCTCCCTCCTGCCTATCTCCCTACATAGAAGCCATCTTTGGCCTCTGAGACCCCCACTCGGCTCATTCATTCATACACTCAGCAAACGTGTCTGAGCAGGGAAGGTATCACTGAGGTTAAGGGTGGGCACAGGAGGGGCAGGGTTTGAGGGAGGCCCCCAGTGGCACACCCTCAGGGCATGGCTGTGCCTGAGGTGCCCCTGGTCATGAAGGGTCATGAAAAGGTCCTGTGGGGAGTGCGAGAGCAGATGGGCCTGAGAGGTGCCTTTGGGGCTCCCTATTCTGGTCCAGACCCCCATCCTCACCCCACAGAGTCACAGACACACACAGGCCCAGTGAGGGGAGCTCCCACAGCACCGCCCTTCCCTGCTCCTTCTCAGGCCCCTCCCTCAACAAAGCACTACCCAAAGCACCTGTCACCCCGGACTACATGCCTCAAGGCATCCGGACACCTGCAGATGACAGAGTGCCCCATCAGCCGGCTGCAGCTCCCCACCTTCCCGGGCACAGCTGGGCGGGCCCCTGTGCAGCGAGACCACAGCCGGAGCTGGCAGAAGGCAGAGGAGGCTCTGCTGGGCACTGACCACGAGCCCTCGCTATCCTGACAGACTCACCTGACAGCGGCTGTTCCCCTCCTCCCGGCTGGCTCCCCAGGACTGCCGGCTCCGGTTCTGCTCTGTGCCTGCACGAGCCCCCGGGGACCCCGCCCAGCAGCGGCCAAGGGGGGCCTGGGAGGCTGCTCCGTTTCCCTGTCACATGGGCAAACGCCAGAGTCCTGACTCCTCCCAGCCTCTTGCCCTCTCCCTGCCCCTCCGGTGCTCCTCTACCCGCCCAGGCCTCCTTCCCCGGTCTCTACCTGAGGCTTCTCTGATTGGGAGGCTGGCCGCTGGCCCCACACCAGGCCCCGCTCCTGGACAGGCTGCCTTCCCACAGGGCCTCAGACATCAAGCTGCCTGGTCTGGATCCCGGCCTCTGTCTGCAAGGCACCCCCCACTTCCAGGAGGTCATGCCCCTGCTCAAGAACCTGCTGGGCTCCCCACTGGGGGGACAGGAGTTGCCAGGCCTTCTCCTGGCGAGGCCCTCAGGCTGCAGGGGTGATGGTGGAGAGCCTGGGGTGTGATTGCATCTCACCTCTGCTTGCAAGTCAGCTGTGGACCTCCAGCGGCTGGACCGAGAGCTGA